GAATTATCTTTGCCCTAAACATTTTAAGTTGGGCATGTGTTAGAAATTTCTGGACATTAAATACTAAATTCATGAAGGAATTTCTAATTCTCTTTTTCTAAAATAATCTTTCCTCCTTATTTTCTGCAATATCATCTAGCCATAACAATTATTTTTATTTTATTGTCATGACAATTATTTTTGAATTATTTTCATTATGATGCACACATCTCTTTTTCCTACTAATTTAAAAGTACTCCATCAGCAAGCACCACATGGTATTTCATTTTTGTGTCCATGGCACTAAACCTGTTCCTGGGATTAGAGCAAGTATTTTATCAATGTTTGTTGAGCAAAACAGGCCATCTTTCCTCATCTTATTCTCTGTGAAGTCATGACTAAATGAAATCACTTAAAATTGGTGTTAGTTCAGAAATATGTGCTCAAGGGATTAAAGATGGGGAAATTAAAAGTATCTATTTCTGTATATTATATGTAAATATTTGTTTTGTAATTATGTTGCAAATTAAATTGTCTGGGTAGGGTGTATATGTTTATTGTGTGGTTTTCAGCCTCCCCCAATCTCACTTACACAGGTTTCTCTTTTCTGAAATTGAGTGAAGAAGGAAGATTTGTTTCTGGCCCATAAGAAATGGTTAACTTCTTAAAATACTGAAGATTTATAAAAGATGCCTTAGAACAAAACCAATTTGCAAAATACAAGGCATTTCCTAATGGTACTAATCTTGAGATATTTTTTTAAAAAAAAGAATTTTCTTCTATTGCAATAAAGACGTAACAAAATCTCAGCAGGCAAAGCTTCGGCTTATAGTAAATTCCCAAGCAAGATTTCCCAACTATAAACAAAACATATGAGTCCTTCATGTCTTCATATTTACTGACAAAAATTGTTTACCAAAAGGAAAGGCATATAAATAATTTCTGCTGTATCTCAAAATGCTAATACTCTCAATAGAATATTTTATGAAGTATTTATATAGCTTTGCTGGAGACTCTGGTGAACTGTAAATCATGCCACTCTTCAGTGCAAGACTCTCAAAAATAAACTCCATGATTTTAGAAATAACTAGCAGGCCACATTTAGATTTTTCTGCCTAGGATTTGTCACTTGATTTTGTACACATGTACGGGGACACATACACACCAAAGGCCTTTAGTTCTGTGTTAAATTTCCTCCAATATGTCCACTTTTAAAACTGTTAGAGTATAATACAGCTAATTAAATAACTGTAACAATGTAACAAAGAGTAAGATAACTAGGCTCCTTAAAAGGAGCATGTTCTCATGTTTTCTTTCCAGATCACCTTTGTAAACATTAATGATCTATCTTGTATTTCCTTGCTGGAGAGCCTAGAGTATGTGTAGAAATTATTTGACATGTTCTTAGAGAAAGCAGAAAGTGGAAAATAACTTGATAGGGAGAGTTAAAGAAAAAACAAGAGAACAGATAAATACACAGATAGTCAACTTGTAGTTACCTTTTCCACAGGAACTTATAGCAGCCAATTACACGTATTCACCAAGTCAGGTAAAGGAAATCAAGGATCCAGGTCCATATGACGGTCCAGTGTTAAAATTTACATAGGCCCTAGAGAAATAGGTTTATTAGATGAAACTAGGTAAGTAGACTTCTAAGGTGTTAGTTGAAACATGAATGAGTGAATCAAATAGAAAAACTGAATTTTCTAGGCACAAATTGTCACATTCCTTTACCTTAATTCACTTGGTGTATAATACAGTAGAATCTGTTGATTTGTTTTCACAGAGACTTCTGACATATAGACAGTTTAATGTTAATAAAAAATGTTTTATAATTAAAATGGAGAGGCTTTGTTGGAACTATTTTACTCCAGTGAAATTTTTAATATTCAACACATAAATTGATAGATAGTATTATATCATTTAAAGTACTACTGTGAAGTTATCTGAGTAGCATTTAATTTAAGTGGAATAATTCCCTTTGGTCAGATTTGAAATATATTTATTTTTTACATATGAAAGAAGCAACAGTGAGAAATGAGAAATGACAAATTTGCAACAACCAATATCCTAATCAATTAAGTTGGGTACAGTAAATTAGCAAAATCTGGGAAATACAATTTCAGGGAATTATTATTCATGGTTAGATGTCTTGAAGTTAACTTATTACAGGGTGGTGATTCAGAGCACAAGTTCAAGAGAATGGTCTTCAGAAAGTTGTGCAAGCATTTTCTGCCTGTTTCCTTATGTCTAATAGGTAGACAATAATAGCATTTGCCTCATTGTGTGTTGAAAACAAGATATTAATATATAATTTAATTTGTGTAGGCATTTAAAGTGATAAATAACACATGCATAATATTGCTACAATGTCTTGATTTAACCAGCTACAAACAAAAATGATCATGGTTTAGTATTTATTGATGGGATAATAGAAATCTACTCTAAGCCTTTCTTTATTCTTTCTACTTGTTCAAGCCCATGACATAGGAAATAGAGAAGAAACAAATAACACATCTAATGCTTGTAACTAAGCATATCCATGCAAATATTAAACACAGAGTTATTAGAGAGTATGAAGAATCGTACATGTTTTTGAAAGAAAGGAGGACAAATAATTACTTGACAGATATAGAAGTACAGATTGTTAAAAGGACAAAAAATATTACAAGAGAAGTCATAATATATAAAAACTACATAAAAATTGGCTTAGGTGAAATTTAAAATGTTTATATCAGTAAAATTTTTTAAATTGTCACATTCTTGATATATAATAATATTTTTTCAGCATATCGACCTAGAATCAGGATAACTAGGTCAGAAGCAATGTTAAGTGTAATCAAATCCAATTCCACACTCAACAAGTTAAAAATTGAACCTATATGTACTAATGGCATAAGTCTCGGAAGCCATTCTTAAATGAACACTGTGTCATTCAATCTCACGTGCAAAACTAGGCACGGACATTAAAAAATAACTTGTTACAATGAAGGGGGTTCATGGCTAACAGAAATGATGATGAAATGTTTAGAGCTGTTGAAATCGAAATCAGATCTGGGTGCTAATAAAGGAATGTCTCATTTTTCCTTTTTTAAAGAAGATTCTGTGATGAAAAAATGCAGACCCAAACTACAGATATGTCAACACCATATAATTCAAAAATATTAATTAAGCCTATACCCACTTCATTACATTCAATTAGCGCTGAGGGATTTGTGGCTCCAAAAGGACCTATAAAAACTGATGTGATTATAAGGAGGTCTTTAGTGTATCCTTTTTTAATTATTGAAAAAAAAATTCTCTAATTATAAGATTTATATTAGGCAAAACTTATTAAGCTATTTAAGTAGTATTGGCTAATACCAGCCTTAACGACCCATTTAAGAGTGCAGGGAAATATTACTTAAAATTAGAATTATTAAAGAAAATCTAACATGCATAGTGCTAACATATACAGGAAGCATCTCTATGTAACTATTGCTATGAAATAAAATATTCATCTATTACAAAATGATATATAGTATCAGAAAAGATTGCTTGTGTAAAATAGTATAAAGATCTCAATATATATAATCATATATTTAATTTATATAATTAAAGCTATATAAAATATACATTTTTTAACTTGATATAGTTTTTAAAATAATGTAGCTAGAGAAAATAATTGTTAACTAAATGTTCCATATTTAGTCATGCATGTGTCTCTTCACTTTTCAGTACAAAAATGTTGCTAAATATTACATTTATTGTTGTTGGTCAGGAAAAATAATAGTAATTTTTTTTTGGCTAAAAGCTAAATTATTCCAAATTTGAAGGAGCATGGTTTTATATATAAGTGTGTGTGTGTGTAATTTTGTATATTATATATTTTATAATATTTACATAAATATTATATATTTCATGAAAATATATTACTTGGTTTATGATATTTAAGAGAACAGAACAATGTCTAACAAGCTGTTTTTCAATAAAAGTCAGAAATTACTTAGTTTAAAATATTTTGTAAGATAATAGATACCATGTGTATCTTCTTTCCTATTCTCTCAGATAGAGTGCTCTTCAATTGAAAGGAACCTGGCTAGAATCCTGTTGTAAAAATAAATGTCATCAAACTACAAAAAAGCATTAAGCAAATCCTTTGATAATAGGTAATACATATACAATTGTATTCCCCACACTGTCCTGGCTTACTTCCTATTCCCCAAGGCTATTTCAGTCCAAGTGGATCTGGGTGTCGTCATACAGCTCTCTGTCTGATGAAGACATCTGCCACACTGTTCACCATTTCCTCCAATTTCCCCATGTCCTGACAGAGATCCTCATTTTCTATAATATTATGCAATGCCATCTCATTAATCGGAATATCTAGTTGATGTATCTTGTAGGGATTCATTCAGGGACAGAGCTTTAAATAGCAGCTATTTATATGTTAATTAATAAAGTGACATGCACAGCCCTGTGATTAGACCATGCACATAACCTATTGAGCATATTGCTATTTTCGATTTTCCTCCCACGTGAAGATTTAGAGCTGCCCTCTCTAGCTCCCTTTTAGTATGCTTATGCAAATGAGCTGTTTCTATAATCTTGTTAATAAAGGGCATTCTCATCATTAAGAATAATTTTTAAGGGAAAATAGCAACTGCTCATGTATCATCATATCGATCTTATTTTGTGAAGATGTTGACAGGCTTTGCTAAAAGCTTCCTTTAACCACAAAATCTCCCTTAGAATTGGATGGAAGGAAAGGAAGAGATTGAATCATTTGGAATTAAAAGACCAGTATAAAGATGAAATACGTTCTAAGTTATCAAAGAAAACACTTTGGTAGCCAAAGCATGATACCAGTATCTAAACAAATTAGAGGCTGATTACAATGAGTTTTTCTTCACTAAATATGTATTAAGGACCTACTGTGGGTAGGCTTTATGCAAACAGTAGTAAGAAGGAAATATAGTAGTGTGGAAATCTCACATCCTTATAGTATTTTTAACATGAATTCCAACTAGCCACAGATTATCTGTGAATAATTATTTAATGATTATATTATCCCACAATTTAGTGGCTTAACACAGCAATCATTTATTTTGCTCAAAGGTTTGTATATAGGTTATTCTTGAATATAAGTATTCAAGTTATTCTTCTTACATAATTATTTAATGATTATATTATCCCAATGGCATAACACAGCAGTGATTATTTTGTTCAAAGGTTTGTATGGAGGTTAATATTCAAGTTATTCTTCTGCCATTGTTGAATAGGTACACTCATGCTTCTGTGTTTGGCTGTTACTTCTGCTTCTCAGTTGCTTCTGCTTCTGGGGGTTGACTCATCAGCTGAGATCATGAGAGTGACCTGGTCCCACCTCTTCCTCCTCCAGTAGGCCAGTGAAGCCATCTCTACAAGGTGGAAATGTAGAGGGTCAAAGAGCATCAAGAGAGGGCAAGCCCCAATAGGCAAGCTTTCTTCAATTATTTGTTTATATCAAGTAGACTCGCTATTGTGCCATTGGCCAAAATAAGCCATGAAGATGGCCCAAAATTCAGTGTTAGAATAGACCACTGCAGGCATGAAGAGGCAGGCATGAATAAACAAGGAACCACAACTGTAACGATATCTACCACAGTGTGCCCTGAGATCCCCAGTGCTCCACCTTTCTCACAATGCAAAAGACATCTATTTCTTACCAAAAAACCCACAGAGGTCTCATTGGATAATCATGCAATCAGTCTCAAAATCTAAGAGCATAAAGTCTATAATCAAATTTTATGGAGATTTTTAAAATACAGTTATGCTTAATTCTGAAACCTATGAAATAAAAAGCCAAGTAATGTGACCTCCTCATACCAACGCCCCATGATGAAATACGAATGGGATAGTCACAAAAGATTCTGTAGTCCCAAAAGGGGGAAAACAAAAGGTATGTACAGTCTGTTGCTGTATAACTTTTTGAAACCCTACCTGTTGCTAAGGCCCTTATACACTGGAAGCAAGGAATGTTCCTTTATGAGGGACACATTCTATTCCCTAGGAGTGAATCCCCATTCCATTATCTATCCTTATTATTGACTTTTCTCTCTGGCCTCTTGGATTCACACACTCACACATTATTTATATATATATATATATACACACACACACACACACACACACACACACACACACACAGATATATATATATATATATATATATATATATATATATATATATGATCCTCTATGTATTCCTATAGTGTAGTGGCTTTCTTAGCCTGGTACTTGCTTATAAAAAGGCCCAAGAGTCTTTTAGAAACTCGAGCAGTGTCATCACATTTTTATCTAATCTGGTGTGGTCATTTGTTAATAAAACTCCTTAAAAATTTGTGGAATTTCTACATATCAGCTTGAGACCCACTTTATTCCAGCAGAAATACACCAACAGTTCTTTTTGAGATCAGCCTTTCTCCACTCTGGGCATTTCAGGCTTCTGTGGCCAGTGTTTTAAAGATCCTTAGAATCTCTTTTGTCTGACTCAACTGCTCTCAGTGGAGGGTGTTTTTGCTCTTCAGGAGACATTTTAAAATGTCAGGAGACATTTTTTGGTTGTCACAATTAGAGTGAGGGTGGTGTTCTGTCATTTAGTGGGTAAAGGCCAAGGATATTCCTAAACATCTTTCAATGCACAAGACACTCCCCACAATGAAGAATTATCTAGTCCAAAATGTCAATAGTACTGAGTTTGAGAAACCCTGGTCTGGTTTGTAGGATCTTTTCGGCACTGATTTAGTTTGGAAGTTTTAAGAGAAGTTTGTGGTTCTTTTCTTTTAATGTTTATTTTTGAGAGACAGACTGTGAGTGGGGGAGGGATGGAGAGAAGGAGACACAGAATCTGAAGTAGGCTCCAGGTTCTGAGCCATCAGCACAGAACCCAATGTGGGGCTTGAACTCATGAACTGAGAGATCATGCCCTGACCATGATCAGGCCCATGTCAGGATGCTCAACCGACTGAGCCACCAAGGCACCCAGAGAAGTTTGTAGTCCTTACAGTCATACCCTTGCCTGAATACTCTCCCCAGACAGCATTTTCTTTATTTTTTCCCCTATATTTTCTTTAAAAATCATTTATAAGCTAGAGACAATGAACTAAGAGCCAAGTTTGTTTTATAACCAGCTAGTCCTATTCCTCTGTCATGCCTCTAAATTCTGCTTACATATAAATGGTTCCCTATTTAGCTCAGCTACTTGTTATAATACCTTATTTTGTGTGGTTAGGCATGCTAACAGATGTTTTCAACATCATTTCCAATAAGACCAAAAAAGTTTTAGGTACAGTTTTGAGATTCCAAAATACTATAGGTACCAGTTTTGCCAACTGTTTTAGACCTACACAAGCTGCCATTTTTCTAGCCTCCAAAAACAATTTCCTCACCAAAATTTTCAGCCTTCAACTAACAGTTTTCTCCCTGCTTTTCCAGATTACATTAACAATTTCCTTGCTTCTGCTGCCCACCACATGATCCCAAAGCCAATGTCATGTTTTATATTCTTTTCATAGCAGTACCTCATTTCTGGTACCAATTTCTATATCAGTTAGATTTTTTTCTGCATAATAAACCACATCAACTTTCAGTAACAGAAAAAAACACAAATATTTATTTCGGTCACAATTCTATGAGTCATCAGTTTGGCCTGGACTCAGCTAGGTGGTCCTTCTTCTGATACTGGATGTGCTTTCTCATGCATCTGCATTCAAATATTGGTCACTTGGAAAGTACTGCTTTGCAGGGCTGACTGATCCTCAAAGGGCAATGCGGCTGACTGGGCTATATGTCTCTCAACATGCAGCAGGCTCCCCCAGGAGCAACAACTGGGAAATGATTTTCAAGGATCTTTTCCTTTGTCATGTTTGATACTGACCTATTATCCTAAAGGCCAAAACAAATTACATAGTCAAACCAAGATTCAGTTTAGGAAGGGATTATTCAAGGTAATAGTCACAAAGAAGCATAAATATATCATAATCAACCAGAGGGTATTTTTTAAAACCACTTTACTATGATTGATCAACATATAAAAAGGCATACATATTTAATGTATACAACTCTATGAATTTCCAGATAAGTACACACCATGAAACCATAACTGCTATCAAAGCCATAAACATACCCAACTCCCAAAGTTTCCTCCCACCCTGTTAATTATTACTATTTTTGTATCTATGTGGTACAAATAGTTAACATAAGGTCTACCCTCTTAGAAAATTTTAAATATACAATATTTATTGTTGGTTATATGCCCTATGCTGTAGAGTAGATCTCCAGAACTTGTTGATCTTGTGCAACTGAAACTTTGTACTCTTTAACCATCACCACTCCTTCCCCCCTCTTCACAAACAACTTACATGTTTATCAACAGATAAATGGATAAATAAAGTGTGGTATATACATACAATGGACTATTACTCAGTGTTAAAATAGAAGGAAAGCCTGCCAATTCTGATGGCACGCCTCTGCCTAGTGGTCATTATACTAAATGAAAGACAAATATTATATGGTCTCACCTACATGTGGCATATAAAAGACTCCGACTCATACAACCCCAAGGTTTTAAGAGGTTTTTTTTAAACAGATCTTCCTTAGTAACAACAAAATTTATTAGACATTAGATTAGCTTCTTTAGTAGTAAAAAACAATTCTTTGTAAATACTTCAAGAAGTGTTCCATTGTTCTTATTGTTGCTCAATAAGTTCTCATAAAAGCTATGAAGATTATAGGGAACTAATAATAGAAATATGTATTATACAGGACACAACGGTGCAATCAAGTTAGATTATGATAGCGTGAAATGAAAACTCCAGACAGGTGATCTCTAAATGTCATTTTGACATTTAGGCTCTTTCCATAATTTGGCTATTGTTGAGAGTGCTTCTATGAACATTGCGGTACAAGTGCCCCTATGCATCAGTACTCCTGTGTTCCTTGGATAAATTCCTAGCAGTGCTATTGCTGGGGATCCTGAGAAACTTAACAGGAACCCATGGGGGAGGGGAAGGAAAAAAAAAAAGAGGTTAGAGTGGGAGACAGCCAAAGCATAAGAGACTGTTGAGAACTGAGAACAAACTAAGGGTTGATGGGGGGTGGGAGGGAGGAGAGTGTGGGTGATGGGTATTGAGGAGAGCACCTTTTGGGATGAGCACTGGGTGTTGTATGGAAACCAATTTGACAATAAATTTCATATATAAATAAAAAAAATGTCATTTTGAAAGAGGATTTGGACCAAGATTTATGTGCTTATTCCCTGTATTCTAGTCCTCATCCTAAATCCATAATGCAGTCTGGTAGAAGCCTCTATGAATTCGTGGAAGTCAACTGAGGATTCCCTACTGTTAAGTATCTAAGAAGGAGAGGTCAAGGGATAACAATGCCTCAATCACATCAGTACTCAGGAGCCTTCCACCTCCCCTGTTCGCTTGTCTGTTTGTTTGTATTATCGTTCCAGGACAAAGACCTAGATTGGAATTCTCCTTCTGCTTTTATCTTTTAACACTTTAAGAGTTCCATGGCAGGGATTTTCCCAATAAACAGTCAGAGTGTTTTTGTAATGGTCTTTATTCCACTGATGGTAGAAGGAAGAGTCAGAGAGGCTTATCTGGCAATTGGACTGGATGTCAAAACTCAATTCAAAACTCAATGTCAAAACCAAGGTATACCCCTATCTGCCCCTTCTACTCTAATGCTTGAACAACGCTGTCATCTATGAGAAAAAAATCATTGTAGGATCCATTCAAATACAAAAACCTAATAAATCTGGCAAGATAAGAATATTCAAAGCCTTAATTTCTGATTCTTTGAATTTTAGTAAAATAAAACAAACCCAACAAAGCATAAAAATAAGTTAGATTTAAAATATGAAGCTATTTTTGGGTCCCTGGGTGGTTCAGTTGGTTAAGCTTCTGACTTTGGCTTAGACCATGACCTTGCGGTTCGCTGGTTTGAGCCCTGTGTCAGGCTCTGTGCTGACAGCTCAGAGCCTGGAGCCTGCTTCAGGTTCTGTGTTTCCCTCTGTCTCTGCCCCTCCCCTGCTCATGCTCTGTCTCTCTCTGTCTCTCAATAAATAAATGTCATTTAAAAAAAAAAATGAAGCCATTTTGGCCACCATAGCAAATTCTCACGCATCTGTTTCCAAGGTTTGGGGAATTAATAGAGAGAGAAGAAGAGAGACAGAGAGAGAGAACTCTCCAACCTATACTCTTGATCAAGGAAAGGTGAACATAAAAATCCCTTCTGTAGGTTGCAGTTCTAGGTATAGTGATATGTCAGAATACACGCATCTAACTCAAATCTAACTTAATTGTTTGGCTTTCTGACACAAACGTTAGCTATTAAGAAATCAATTTTGTTTTATGACAGTCATAACAAT